AAGGTCATGATCCCATAAAGTAGTATACATTATAACAAATTCTTATGTATGTTGTTTAAAGGGACATGTTTCATTCTCAATTTTCTCTCTCTCCCAGTGTTAGATACTGAATAGACAGATAATTAGAAGAAATAAAAGAACTTAAATATTCATGCATGAAAGACCTAAGGTAAGAAAATCAAATAAACTTTAATAGATGTAAAGGTACATAAATTGGGTTTTTTTGTTTTGGTTTTGTTTTAAAAAAACAAGCCAGTCCCTAGTTCTACCTTATTTTCAACATGTCCAGAGTCCAGTGTACATAAAATACATTGAATGTGGGCTATCGGTATAAGTATCAGCTCCACAGTATATAAAGAATGAAGTCAACAAACAATTCAACATTATTTAGCATATAATGGGCAAAACAGTATAGTTTTTAGGAAACTGCAGATCTTTTAGAATATTTTTCAGGTGTTAAAGATAGGAAAGAAAGAAAAAATACCTGTTCAATTTAAACTAAGAAAGGAGATTGCCACCACAGATTTAAGTATTATAGTTTTCAATCTCAGTGGCTTACGAGGCTGAGACAGGAGGATCACAAGTTCAGGCCAGCCTCAGCAATTTAATGAGGCCCTAAGCCAACTTAGTGAGACCCTGTCTCAAAATAAAAAAATAAAATAAAAATAAAAGGGCTGAGGATATGGCTCAGTGATTAAGCATCCTTGGATTCAATCCCTGGACAAAACAAAGTATTATGCTTTTCAGAGAAACTTTGTTCAGCAACTTAATAACTTATTTTCTTTATGTTAGAGTCATAAGAGAACTACATAATACCTTCATACCCCAATATTCAAAAATATTTGCATAAAACAAATTTAATAAGCAGTTAAATCTGTCTGATTTGCCTATTAATACACATGGGGACACTAAAACATATATTCTACCTGATTTTGGCCTTTAAATCCTCTTTACTGAAATGTTCATTATCACAATATTCAAACAACAGGCTTGAATTTCTTTTTCTTTTCTCCCACACTACCCCTCTGCAGTGGAGTCTAAACCCAGTTGGCCTCTACCACAGAGCCACACCTCCAGCCCTTTTTATTTTGAGACAGAGTCTGATAAATTGCTTTAGCATTTATAGCACTTTAGCAGAAGGACTTGGAATTCTTCAGCCCCGGCATTCTGAGTCTTTTGGATTATAGGCCTACACCACCATGCCCAGCTTCTTCACTTCTTCCTTCCTTCCTTCCTTTTTTTCCCTCTAGGATCTCATGCATGCTAAGCAAGTAGCTCTAACACCAAGCTACTTCCCCAGCCCTTTTTAAAATTTTTATTCTGAGACAAGATTTCACTAAGTTGCCCAGGCTGGCCTTGAACTTGCAATATTCCTGCCTCAGCTTTCAAACAGCTTGGATTATAGATATGTGTGATTATTTTCTTTATTATGAGCTTTCTGTTTTACATGTTAGATTCTGCTTAGATCATTTAATCTTAAAAATACCATTTTAAAATATCAGAAATATGTGCAGCAATTTTTGTCAGGATAGATGAGCCTGAGTTTCTTTATCATTAAAATGGTAAAGTTCATGAATCATTCCACAAAAGTGTACCAATGAATGCCTATGATAAGGCATGGACTCTTCATTTGTTAGAAATACAATGATGACAAAAATCATCAAATGCTTGTGAAGATTAGATAAGAGACCAGTTTATGTAAAACAAAAGTGACACTCCACCTAACTGTTGCAAATTTAAGTTAGTAGTCTCGTGGATAATTAAGATAGGGAAGAAGAGAGCCATCTTTTTAGGTATAACAAAAAAATGAGATTAATTGGAGCTTCAAGACACACAAAAAAGTATAATAGGAACAGAAATCAATGATCAAAAAACAAAATAAGTTTTAAAAAGTCAACAGCTAAAACATACCAATGATAACTATATGAAGACCACTTCAAATATACCTAGAAAAAGTAGTTATCTACTAAATCATCAAGAGAAAAATACCTAACAGAGTTAAGGAGAATATTAAAGGCAAAAATTAGAAGGAACTAAAGTAACATTATGCTATCTCTAACTCTACTAACAGGTTTTAAAAATAATAAATGTAAAAAGTATTTATATTAACTCATCATAATTAAAAAAATAATTTCTAAATAAAGTCTAAAAATCCTAAGTATGTATAATCTTTCCCTTAAGAAGGAAATGAAAATAAGTAGGGCTTCTTGAAAGTGTTGTTTGTTTAAAGAAACTTTACTAATGAGAAAAGCATTTTCTTGAAAGAAAGGACTTCTAAATTATTAATGCTTTTTTACATATCCTTATGGGAAAATACACAGACCTAAATTTGTAAAGGATATAGTTCAATTTATACAGTTATAAGTGTTACGTTATAAATAGATGTGTTGGAAAGAATATGTTATGTAGATTTTAGATAATTATTGTCTGTAACATAACTCTTTAAAAATCCAGATATACTAGACATTGGTGTTATAATTCTCAACACAGATCTATTAATTTTCTCTATGGTGAGACAATAAATGCAATATTAAGAGCTGAGATGCAGCAGCCACATTTGAATCTAGCTAGTTCTTTGTTAACCTCTTTGTACACCTCAGTTTCCTAATCTATAAAACAGTACTGAAACCTCATTGGGTTTTTAGGAAAATGAAATGTGTTAATAGGTGTAAGTACGGTAAATGCTCAGAATAGTGCTGATACACTAAGTACTAGATTGTGAATACCAGAAAAATGCCTGCCCTGTGCCAATCACTGAAATAAGGAGAGAACAGAACCAACAAAAATCCCTTCACCTTGTAACATTTTTATTTTAGTGGAGAGATTATATTCTGGAGTTAAGAAGTAAAATTTATTTAGGTAGCAAATCACCTAATCCAGATATGTACTTAGGAAGAAGGAGTAATATGACTAGTGGAAACTGAATGAAAAAGTTTCCATAGGATCCAATTCTATAAAAAAAGGTATTCTAAACCCCAAAATTGGACTGGGTATATAAATTAGTGGTGGAGTGTTTCCCTAGCATGTACAAGGGCCTGAGATCCATTCTTGGCACTGCAAAAACAATAGCAATGATAATATTAATGACTAATTTCTGTTGTTCATATATCTTTGTAAACCAAAAAAAAAAAATACTACATGACTTGAAGTCATCATTTAGCATCAATAAAAATGGACATGATTAATTGTCTGTCTCCAAATGTAGTTATGTACTTTATTTACTCTCATCCTCAAACCAATTCCAAAAGTCAATCAGTATCAAAAAAGTTAAACCAAAGCCATCAAAATACAAGAACACAAGAATAAAGAAGAAAACAATCTCAGGAGCATCAAAAACTAACTGAAAATATTAAGTCTTGCAATATATTTAAAATGTAACACTTAATATCCTAAATAAAATTATTACATAGCAAAAAAAATTGCCTAACTAAGCAGTACTTTTTTCCTACTAAATATGAAATTAACCTCTGGGTAGCAAAAATAATGGGAGTTAACCAAAAGAATTTTTCCTATTAAAGAGGAGGAAATAAACAAGGCAAACCTCTTTCCTTGGAACAAAACATACTATAAACAGCAGCTGATAATTCAATCATTTACAAGGTATCCATCAAAAGCAACAAATTTCAATGTTGGGGGAAGGGAATGAGCAGATAGGAGCTTTCATTAAATAAACCTCCTAACTTTTCCTTACTCAAGTACCTCAACATTGTCCAAGAATCATGGCCTTTTGAGAATCACTGTTATTGAAAGTCACTGTGATGCATTCCTTAAAAGATGCAAATCACTAATCTATAGCATCTGTACATAACAATAAATTCACTTTCTTATTGAAAAATTATATTTTTTTATAACATAACTCAGTTCTTGCCACTTCAATTAAGTAGTGATCAAATCCTGCTTTTTGCAGTAAGTGAAAATGATAATGGTTCTTTTCAGTCTCAAAACAAATAGAGGTAAACAAATCTGTCATTTGATTTTATGAGTCCTGTTACTCTAGCAAAACAATGGCCATCAAGAAACCTTTGAGGTCCTAATTATCCTGAACAATATTATTTATTCCACAGTGAAGTTTTATACATCATCAATTTGCATTGATATCATTCTTCTCTAGAATGTAGGGGCTGAAGGTAAAACATCTGAAGTTAAGGGAGTAGAAAGAATGGTACAAAATAGACCCTGAGACTAAAGCAAACAAGAGCCAAAAGATGGAGATAAATTTTTTCCCTGAATCAAATGTTACTGGACTCTTTAGTCATGTGTGCCTGTTTAGGTTAGAATTTTTTTTCACTGATAATTTGTAGAGTTCTAACCACTATAGTTAAATCCTATAGTCTAGCCTCAGACTTTAAGCAATATTATTATTTAATAAGTTCTAGCAAAGCTGTTAAATTGTGATCTAACACTAATGGTTTTACTGTTTTAGCAAAATTTTAAGATAAATTGCATTTAAGACTAAAATTTTAATTAAACTTTGTCTTGTAACACACATTTCTTTTTTTTTTTTTTTGGTTGTTCAAAACATTACAAAGCTCTTGACATATCATATTTCATACATTAGATTCAAGTATTTCAAAATCACTTTTCCTCAGTAAAATATACCCGAAAAGAGAAACTCAGCTCACCATATACTCAATTTCCAAGTCTCAAAAATTCTGAAGAAATGTCCAATGCTTTAGATACATTATAAAAGCAAAAAGTTATAGAGGAATAAAAATGCAAAACACAGAATAAAATCCAGGACACTCCCCCCTGCTGGCATTCAGTCCCTGATTTTAGAATTTTAAATATCTTTTTGCAATGAAAACTATTCACAATTGAGCCAGCCAATATTCCTTGAGCAATGATTTGATTAAATCAAAATTGAAACAAACCAATTATCTAATTCAATCTAATTCTGATAAAAAATATTGAATTTAAGCTATGGAACACCATATTTACATAGTATTAATCTACTTAACACACAATTTCATTTCTAAGAACTGAAAAATAAATTAACTTACCTCAATTGTTTTGCATAGTTCTGTTCAATTTCTATCCTCTCTTTAACAAATTTGGCATATCTTTCCAAGAAGTCAATTCCCCATTGTGTATGCTTGTCTAAGCTGTCGAACTGATCCTACAGAAGGAAAATGAAAAAGCACTGACAAAGTCTGAATTTAATGCACAAATATTTTAACCAGCTTCTGATATTTGTACAGACAAACAATGAGGTATAAAAGGAAAAACATTACCCTTTAAGCCTACAAATAGGGGCTGGGGTTGTGGTTCAGAGGAAAGAGCACTCACCTAGCATGCCTGAGGCACTGGGTTCAATCCTCAGCACCACATAAAAATAAAATAAAGGTATTGTGTACACCTACAACTTAAAAAAAAAATGTTAAAAAAAAAGACCTACAAATAGGTTTCTAAGCAAAAGGTCATGCTACTTTATTCCAAAATGCTTTTTTACCAACACAGTTCACCCCAGTTTCAATACTCTACCCTGATCATCTTTTTTGCAATTAATTTTTATTTCCTTTGAGATTCAACTCAAGCATTACACCCGTCCAGAAAACAGTCCTAAACTCTCTTGACTGGGATAAATGGTTTCTCTAGGTCCCCAAGATCCCCAAAATTACTATCTTATGTTCTTGCTATGCCATATTGAGGGCAGGAATCACTTATTATTCAACTCGGAATTCTCAAGGCCTAAACACCATGCTCAGCACCACTTAGGCACTCAATGAAGAACTGTTGAGCTGAATAAAATCATATATACCTGGGGTCAAATTTTAAGATTAGCCATTCACAGGATATTTCAGGTTGGGCAAGTTTTTCAAGGGTCTTTGAACTTTTTTGCATCTTAAAGTATACATCCATCACTCAATTCATAGGACTGTGGCAATGTCAAGTGTTCTAAACTGCAGTAAACTTGACACTAACACATTGTACAGTATCATTGTCCTATAAGACTCTTTCAATCCTCAAACATATTTTCTTTCATCTGCAGCCAGAGACACAAACAATTTCCTTCCTTTAAGGATAATCTCCAAATTAACTGATAACTTGGAGAACTCTCTTACACACACATACCAAAAGTCTACAATATATTTCAATATTATCCCTTGATATTTCCAAGATGTCAAAAATTGCCTGGTGTTTAACCATGTTTGCTACTTACAAATTCATCATCTCCTTTCCATTTTATCTTTTTCCATACTATATCATTTTAAATTCTACTAAAAGTGGAGTCTATCTAAACAGCAGAGATATAATTCATCAACTGATCATAGTTTATTATTATTATTCTATTCTTCCAAGCCACTTTCTAATTATTATTTGGCTTCTAAATCAGATTTGAATACAGCAAGAAAATGAACTGCTGAGTAAATTCTGTCTGCATGATATGTTCCATCATAAATTGGAATTCTCTTTCAAACTGAAAAACTCTCAACAAAATACAATTCCAAAGAGAATCCTCTGAAATATAAACAATCTTTGCTCATTTTTCCAAATTGCTTCAAAGCTCCTCTTCCCATTAGTTTTATCATCAAATTCTAGGCAACACTTCTTCATCTTTTAGAAAAAAACTTCAAATTTTTTATTACAAGTCCCATGTTAAAAAACAAACTAAATAAATGCCTCAATTATATGTATGATTATTTATAAATTAATTGATATACTATTTTTTATAATTTTGAAATCTATATCTCCTCTAGCACTTATTATTTTTTGTAATTTTTAATAATTGTTTTTTAGTTATAGATGGACACAATATCTTTATTTTATTTTTATGTGATGCCTCATGCATGCTAGGCGAGCGTTCTACCTCTGAGCCACTACTCCAGCCCCTACTGTTTGTAATCTTGAGGGCTGCCATTCTAACTGGTGTGAGATGAATATCTCGGTGTACTCTGAATTTGTATTTATCCACTTGCTAACAATGTTGAACAATTTTTTCATATATTTCTCATCCATCTGTAGTTCTTCATTTGCCCATTTATTATTTGGGTTATTTGTTTTTATTGGTGTTAAGTTTTTTGAGTACTTTATATATTCTAGATACATAACTTCTCTTTTTTGGGGAGTGGTACTAGGGATTGAACCCTGGGGCACTTAACTCCTCTTTTGTTTTGTTTAAATTTAGAGAAAAGGTCTTGCTAAATTGCCCATGCTAGCTTTGAACTCACAATCCTCCTGCCTTAGCCTCTTGTGCCACTAGGATTACAGGCGTGTCACTGCTCGCAGCCCTAAAACTTCTGTCAGAAGAGTAGCAAGCAAACATTTTCTTATAGGATCTCTATTTACATTATTAATTGCTTCCTTTAGTGCAGAGGGCTTTTTAATTTGCTATCTCGTATAGAGCCTTGGCATTATTTCCTGAGCTTTAGGGGTCCAACAGAGAAAGTTGTTGCCTGCACCTATATGTTGGAGTGTTGACCCTATTGTTCTCTTCTAGAGTTGCATAGTTTCTGGTCTAAACTGTAGGTCTTTAATCCATTTTGAGTTGACTTTCATACACAGTAGGAGACAAGATCCCTCACTTTACATATGAATAATCAATCTTCCCAGCACCATTTTAATAAAAGGCTATCTTTTCTCTAGTATGTTTTTGGCATCTTCATCAAGGATCAGATGACTATACCTGGGTGTGTTTGTATCTGTCTTCTATTCTGTTTCACTGGTCTATGTCTACTTTTATGCCAATACCATGCAGTTTTAATTACTATAGTTCTATAATATAATTTGAAGTCAATTACTGTGATGGCTCTAGGACTGCTTTTTTGGCTTTGAATTGCTTTGGCTATTCCGGGTCTTTTATTCTTCTAAATAAATTTTATGACTGTTTTTTTTTCCAATTCTGAAAAGAATGTTACTGGTATTTTGATAGGGGTTGCATTGGATCTGTACAATGCTTTGGGTAGTATGGTATTTAAATAATACTAACTCTGTCCAACTGTGATCATGGGTGGGTCTTTCTATTTCTTGTCTCCAATTTCTTTCTTCAATGTTCTATAGTTTTCATTGTACAGATCTTTATCTTTCATCTCCTTGGTTAGATTTATTCCAAGGATTTTTCTGTGAATGAGACTGTTTTCTTTCTTAGGAGATTCATTATTTGTATATAAGAAAGCTATTGATTTTTTTGTACTAGGGATTGAACTCAGGGACACTTGACCGCTGAGCCATATCCCCAGCCCTGTTTTGTATTTTTATTTAGAGACAGGGTCTCATTGAGTTCCTTAGTGCCTCACATTTGCTGAAGTTGGCTTTGAACTTATGATCCTCCTGCCTCAGCCTCTCCAGCCACAGGGATTACAGTCTTGTGCCACTGTGCCCAGTTAGAAAGCTATTGACTTTTGTATGCTGATTTTGTAACCTGCTACTCTGCTGAATTTATTACAACCAGCAGTAAATTTTAAGTAGGGGATCATATGGTATCACTGCAAACAGTGATAATTTGGTTTCTTCCTTTCCTATTAATTGCTCTAACTGGAATATCTAGTACTATCTTATATAGGAATGGTTAAGAGTAGACATCATTGTCTTTTTCCAAATTTTAAAGAAAATGCTTCCAGTTTTTCTCCATTCCCTATGATATTGGCTTTGGGTTTACAATACATGGCCTTTATGATGTTCAAGTAATTTCCTTTGATCACTATTTTTTATTATTTTTATCATAAATGGGCACTAAATTTTGTTGAAGGCTTTCTCTGCATCTATTTTGATGACCAAGTGATTTTTGTCATTATCCTATTTATATAATGAATTATATGTACTGATTTGCATATGTTAAACCACCCTTACATCCCTGGGATAAAACACACTTGGTCATGCTGTATAAGCTTCTTAATATACTGTTGAATATGATTTGCTAATATTTTATTAAGGATTTTTGCATCCACATTCATGGAGGTTGGTCTGTAATATTCTGTCATGTGTCTCTATCTGGTTTTGCTATGAGGGTGATACTGGCTTCAAAGAATGAATTTGGAAGTGATTATCCCTTTCTATTTCATGGAATAACTTAAGGACCGTGAGTATTAGTTCTTCTTTAAAGGTCTGGCAGAATTCAGCTGAGAATCCACCTGGTCCTCGCTTTCTTTGTTGGAAAGCTTTTTATTATTGCTTCTATCTCATTGAGAATTATTAGTCTAAGTTTGCTATATCTTCTTGATTCAACTTTGGCAATTCATAGATATTTAGAAATGTGTCTATCTTACAGGACTTTTCAATTTATTGGTGTATAAATTTTAAAATAATCTCTAATGATGTTCTGGGTTTCTGTGGTGTCTGTGGTGATTTCTCTTTTTTCATCTCTAATTTTATTTATTTGAGTTTCTCTCTTCTACTTGATTAGTTAGGCTAAGGGCTTATAGATTTTGTTTAATCTTTAAAGAACCAATTTCATTGAGCATGTGCACTTTTTTTTAATTCTCAAATTTCATTGATTTGGGCTCTGAACTCGTTTCCTTCCTTTTATGGGTTTCGGAAGTAGTTTGTTCTTGTTTTTCAAGGGTCTCAAGATGCATTATTGGACTGTTTACTTGAGATAGCTTTCTGACTTTCCTATGTAGGCACTCATAGCTATAAACATTCTTCTTAGAACCTGCCTTTATGGTGTCACAGAGGTTCTGGTATGTTCTATAACTTCAAAAAATTCTTAAAATTTCTCCCCTAATTTCATCTATCATCCAAACATCATTCAAAAGTGTACTGTGCCGGGTGCAACTACATACATCTGTAATCCCTGTGGCTTAGGAGGCTGAGACAGAAGGATCACAAGTTCAAGGCCAGCCTCAGCAAATCCATGACCCCCTAAGCAACTTAATGAGACCCTGTCTCAAAATGTGGTTTAAAAAAAAAAAAGAAATGGAGCTAGGCTTCTTCACAACAAAGGAACCAATCAAGAACATGAAGAGAGAGCCTATAGAATGGGAGAATATCTTTGCCACCTGCACCTCAGAGCATTAATCAACACAGCTCATACTTCCACACTCAGTTCATACCTCAAGAAGAAAGGAAAAGATAATCAGTTAGGCACACAGCAAACACATAAGCTCACTGACTATTATGTCTACCATAGTGGGAAAGACTCCTTAATTTATTAACTTTTCACCAAGACCCCCTCCTCCT